CTCATCCAAATGTTTTTTAAAGGTTGTGAGGTTTCTCGCCTCAACTATAGCCCCTGGCAGATCCCCACCACCCTCTGGGTGAAAAGGTTTCTCTTCAAATCCCTCTAAACCTCCTGCCTTCCACTTCAAAATGGTGCCCCCTTGTCATTGAGCCTTCGATTAAGGGGAACAGCTGCTTTCTATCCACCCTGTCCATGCCCTTCAATCTTGTATACCTCTGTCAGTTACCCCCACTCCCAACCTTTTCTGCTTTCCAAAGAAAACAACCTGAGCTTATCCAGTCTCTATTCATCACTGAAATGTTCCATCCCAGACAACATCCTGGTGAACGCCCTCTGCACCTCCTCCAGTGCAATCATTTCCTTCCTACACTGCAGAGACCAGAACTGCACACAGTATTCCAGCTATGGCCTAACCAAAATCTTAAACAGATCCAACATAGCCTCCCTGCTCTTATAATCTATGCCTCAACCAGTTAAGAACAAGTGTCCTGAATGTCTTCTGACCTACCCTATTAACCTGTCCTGCCACCTTCAGGGATCTGTGGACAAAGATCCCAAAATCCTCTCTAAGCTTCCTGGTGTCCTGCAATCATTGTGTAATCGTTTGTCTTGTTACTTCTTCCAAAGTGTATCATCTCACACTTGTCAGGGTTAAAGTCCATGTATCCATCTGACCAATCTGTTCATATCCTTCTGTAATCTAAGACCTTTCTCCTCACTGTCAACCACCTGGCCAATCATGGTGTCAACCACAAACTTGTTAATCACCCCCCACCCACTTTCTCATCTACATTGTTTATAGATATCCAAACAATAAAGGGACCCAACACCAAATCCTGTGGTGTGCCACCGGACACTGGCTTCCAGTTACACAATCTTCTACACACAGCAAGCCAATTTTGGATCCAACGTGCCGATTTACCCTGGATCCCATGAGCTTTTACCTTCTTTATCAGTCTCCCGCATGCGACCCTGTCAAAGGCTTTGCTGAATACTACATCAATTGCCCTACCCTCATCCACATACTTGGTCTCCTTTTTGAAAAATCAGTGCAGTTTTCAAAAACCCATGGACATTTAATGCCTTCACTGAGCAAAACACTGCTAACAGGGCACGTTTGGAACCAAGGCAACTGTTACAAATATCTCAGGAGACTCGCCCAAAAATCAGCTTGAGAACGAACGAGTCTGTAAAAGCAGCTCTGAGGCCAGAAATGACATGAAACATTTCCGTGTATCCACATACTTCAACTAAAAGTCCCAGTCCCTGACATCAAACCCCTGGATGTGAGGAAACTATGGTGCACTGGTCTGGGCTGGTGTATAAAATTATACATTAAGGAACAAGGGACAAGGCAAAGCCAAAACTAACCAAGTATTCACACTACTTACAAGAGAAACTGGAGATTGTGTGACTACAAGCTGTTGCACAAAGTGCATATTTCAACTGAAGGTTAAAACATTCAGCATTTGGCTCCTTTGTAGACTTTTTAGACAAAGCATTACACTCGAATTAAGTCTTTTAGGATATGGAAAGGTGATTTTACATCACAGTTTGTCAAAAATAGTCAATCTTAATGCATCTAACTGACAAAGAATTCTAAGCTGTAAACAATGTAAGAGAGAAAAGGAAAGTGCTTAGATTTGCTGGGTGCTAATTGGTAAACGAGTAAAAAGGCTTAATTTGCTCAAATGCCAGCTAGTTACTCAAGTTATCTGCAGTGTATTTTCACACAGTCATTAACCAGTTTAAGGCAGACTTAAGATTCCCAGACCACCTTTCACACAGGGTTCAAGAGTTGTTATTTCAGCCCATTGAGTTATCCTGGAGCAAGCTGCTCAAAAGAACATAACAGAAGTACAGCACAGGAACACGCCCATTGGCCTTCCAAACCTGTATTGATCATCATGCTCTAACTAATCTAAAAAAACAAACCTTCTGCCCTTATTTAGTGCATAACCCTCAATTGTCTCCCTATTCATGTGACCATCCAGATGCCTCTTAAATGTCACCAACATGACTGCTTCTACAACCTCTTCTGGCAGTGTGTTCCAGCCTCCTACCACTCTCTGCCTGAAAAACTTCCCTTGCACATCTCCCTTAAACTTTCCCCCTCTCACCTTGAACCTGTGCCCCTTTGTAATTGAAACTTCAATCCTAGGAACAAGCTTCTGACTATCCACCCTATCTATGCCTCTTAATTTTGTAGACCTCTATCAGGTTTCCCCTCAGCTACTGTCTTTCCACTGAAAAAAAATCACACAGTCTTTTTTACCTTTCCTCATAGCCAATGCCCTCGAGACCCAGGCAACATCCCGGTGAACCTTCTCTGCACTCTCTCCAAAGCTTCCACATCCTTCTGGTAATATGGTGACCAAAACTGCACGCAACACTCCAAATGCAGCCTAACAAGGGTTTTTTTTCTCATTTCACTCTTGACTCTTTTGCACATCACTTTAAATCTATGCCCTCTCATCCTTATTCTTTTTACAAACTGGAACAGCTTCTCCCCATCTACTGTATCCAGTCATGATTTTGAAAACCTCTATCAGAGTTCCCTCGCTAACTTTGTTCTCTCCAAGGAGAACAGTCCAAACTTCTTCAATCTATCCCCATCACTGAAGTTTCTCATTCCTGGAACCATTCTTGTAAATTCCTTCTGCACTCTCTCCATTGTTCACATTTGTCCTATTGTGTGTTGCTCACCACTGTACACAATGCTCCAGCTTAGCTTTAACAAGTGTCTTATACAAGTTTAGTTTCTTTCTCTTGTACTCTTTGTCCCCTTTGTCCCTATTAATAAATACAAGAAAACTGTCTACTTTATCAACTGTTCTCTCCACTTGTCCTGCCACCTACAGACATAGCCCCAGGTCCCTCTGCTTTTGCACTCACTTTAGAATTGTACCCTCTATTTTATATTGACTGTCAATGTTTTTCTGCCCAAAGTATATCACCTCACACTTCTCTGTATTGAATCCCATCTGCCACCTATCCTCCTTCTCCAACCTGTCAGTTTCATATGAATGTACAAACAAAGAACAGGAGCAGGCCACTGGCCCTTTGAGCCTGCACTACCATTCATAGCTGATCTGATTTTAATCTCAACTCTACATCCTTGCATGTCCCCAATGTTCTTCCATTCCCATGGTAATCAAGAGTCCATCCACCTTAAAAATATTTAGATTCTGAATCCACTGCTTTTTGAGGAGGCAATTCCAATGACACTCAGTCCTCTGAGAGTGAAAAAATGTGATTCTTAATTTTTGTTTTAAATGAGTGACCCTCCTATTTTTAAACCATGACCCTACCACAAGAGGAAACATCCCTTCTGGTCAAGTCCCCTCAGGATCTTAGACATTTCAATTCAATCATCTCTGATTTTTCTAAACTCCACAGGATACAGGCGCAGCCTTATCTCATAAGGCAATCCACCCATTCTGGGTATTAGCCCAGTAACCCTTCTCTGATCTGCTTCCAATGCATTAACATCCTTCTGTAAATGCCATTACTGTACACAGTACTCCAGACGTGGTCTCACTAAATGCCCTGTATAACTGAACCATAGCCTCCGTACTCTTGCATTCAATTCACAATGAAACATAGCATTCTATGATCTTTCCTGATTATTTGCTGTACCTGCATGCTAACTTTTTGCGATTCATGCACTAGGACACACATATCTCTCTGTATCTCAGAACTCTGCAGCCTCTCACTATTTACTGAATGATTCTTTCTTCACTCTTTCTGGCAAAATGGACAGATCTTTGTCCACTCACTGAGCCTATCTATACCTTTTTGTGCCGTCTTCACAACTGACATTCCTGCCTTTCTTTGCATCATCAGCTCCCACACCTTCAGTCCCTTCCTCCAGACAATTGATGTAAATTGTAAAGAGGCCCCAGCACCAAGCCCTGTGCCACTCCACTCTGACATCCTGCTAGCCACTTATTCCTTCTCTCTGCTTCCTGCTAACCAGCCGACATGTTACCCCCTACACCATGAGCTTTTATTTTCTTCAATAATCTTTGATGTGGCATCGTTTCAAAGGTCTTCTGGAAATCTAGGTTTAATAGTGCCACCAGTTCTGCTTTAATCACACCACAATTTACTTTTCTCTGTTATTGCTCTTGTCTCTGATAGTTCTCTACTCCCTGTTCCAACTCAACTCTCTGTCCTTGTCCCCCTGCCCGCTCTCCTCTCTGTTCTTGCCTCTGCCCTCTCTCTGCCCCAAACCCCTTCTCTCTCTATTCCTATTCTCTTTCTCTCTCTCTCTCTGTTCCTATCCTCCTCCTCTCTGATCCTGCTCTATTGATTATTTTTCTGGGAATTCTGCCACTAGCTTATTGTAAGTCTCTGCTCCTCTCTCCTCCAGTGGACGTTATTAACATTTATCAATAAAAGTGTCCCTAGCTGCTACCCCTGGGAGATGTCACTGCACTCTGTCTCTGCTCTGCAAACAGCTGTCCCACTGTATCACTGTCCCTCAGCTCAGTATCAGCTCCACATTGGACCTCTTACATTGACAAACACTTGTGTCCACAGGAGGTACTGCTGTATCTTAGGTGTGAATCCCAAAAACAAAAAGGCTGAGCACACAACTGAAAATCTGCGTTTATGGAGATATTGAGCTGGGCAAGAATTTCACCCTTTACAGCCCGTGCATGCAGTCCCAGGCCAACAGGTGCCCCAGGAACAGTGAGTTCATTCTGAGAGGACAGAGACACAAACAGAGCTAGTGCTGGATAACTGGCATCACTTCTGAGGGCACTGTTAGCCTGTGAACCATACCACACACCGCAATCATTCAGTTCAATCTGGCACTCTCCACACTGACTGTTGTTTTCATTCAAAAATTCTCTCATTGTAGTTCGTGGCAATAACACATTCTCCTCTCACTGCAGACTCCCATGCACTTCCACGACAGCAATGGCCCTGATAGACACCATACACAAGAGGAGTTTAAACGCACATTGAGGAAATTAGTGGTGTACTTACACTGGAGATAGAGATTAATCCCAAAACCAGGCAAAGTTTCATCATCTCTCAGACCGAGGTAACCGCTGCGTGCTGGGGCACAGACCAGGACCCTCAGAGGTTTAATGACGCTTACTATCCTCACACAGACTCAAAACACAGCTGTGTGAGTGTGACTGCTCCCTGCACTAACTTTGGCCACGGACGCAGCGCCGCCACTGCTCAGTGAGGCGATCCGCGGAGGCAGCTCCCAGAGCCCGGGTGAAGCGGCAAGTAACTAACCGCCAACAACCGGAAGTGGGTTCATTTTACGGGAGGGAGTGGAGAAGACAGGATGGAGTGGGAGAACGTATGGGGGGGGAGGGAGGATGGATGGGGAAAGAGAGGGAACAGAGATTGGGAAGAGAGGATGGATGGATGGATGGATGGATGGATGGATGGATGGATGGATGGATGGA